CTCTCTGCCTACTTGTGATCTGTCAAATAAATAAAATCTTTAAAAAAAAAAAAAAAAGACTCTCTCTCCCTCTACCTTTGACTTTCCCCATTCTCCTTTCCCCATGCTCGCTCTCTCTCTCTCTAAAAAAAAAAAAAAAATTCCCCCATAAATATTAGTCAGTGATGCTGTCATTTTGTCAGTAGACCGATGGTTTAACGCATGTACAGTGGTTAGTAGTGGGAATGTTAATTTATCATGGGGATAAATTGGAGATTAGGAAACTTTTTTTTAAGATTTTCGTATTTATTCACTTGAGAGAGACAGAAAGCGCACAAGCAGGGGGAAAGACTGAGAGGGAGAAGCAGACTCCCCACTGAGCTAGAGCCTGACGTGGGGCTTGATCTCAGGACATGAAGATCATGACCTGGGCCAAAGGCAGATGCTTAACCATCTGAGCCACTCAGGTGTCCAGGAAACTTCTTGACTGCTTCCTAACATTCCAGAATTACAAACTACCCCGAAGACATACTGACTGTTGGTATAAATTTGCAGCTTTACCCTTAGCCAAAATTCAAGGATAGTTAAAGGGGAATCCCTTGATTTTTTTTTTTTTTTTATTCAGTGGCCTTAATTAAGTGCAGTGGCGGGAATGGCTCAGAAGTTAGGGGAATATCCTGCTACAGGGTCTGGTTATTGGCTACAATATCCGATGGGTCCATCATGGTCCCTTTGTTTTGGGATGAGTACTCTCAAGGGTGTTCCTTTCCCTTCCACATACTAAGAGTAAAGGGAAGTTGGTAATTAGGATGTCTGAGGGCAGAGGGCTTTATTAAAGTCCCAAAAGTTTTGTCCTCTTGATTTTTCCAAATGATAGGATTGGGTTTGTTTTTTGTTTTTATTTTGTTGTTGTTGTTGTTTTTTAGTAAAGCATATAGAGAGTGAGCCATAAAAGAAGTTTCCAAATCCAATTTCAACAGCAGCCAGCCAGTCCACGAAAACCTTGTAATTGGCACTTCCTTTTAGGTTTGGGGAAGTTCAGGATGGTATGAGTCCTCCCTGGATCCAAATGTAGTTCTTGATCTGAGATCAGGTGCTCTAAGTATTGAACCTGAGTTTGAGCAAATTGCAGTTTTTCCCTTTGTAGGCTTTGTGTTCCTTTTAAGGCCAAAGCCAAAAGCTTTAGTAGGTAGATGCTATCTTACTGAGAAGAGATTTGAGAAGGGCAGCAGAAAGGCAAATCACCTGCCTAACAAGGTAGAGCCTACAGAAAACTTAGTCATCCAAATCTGTTTTTAAGGTTGGTAAAAAGTAAGGACTCTGTGCAACTCTGAGGCCTTACTATCCAGGTGTCTTTCCAACCTTCCCAAGTGGAAGCAAAAAGATACTGGCTATCCTTACCAACTGGAATACTAAAAAATACACTCTGCCTTTCAGTTACAGTGAAAAATTGGCTTTCATTGGGAATGGTTGTCAGCAGCTTGTGGGGGTTAGGAACAACAGGGGGCCGAGGGATAACAGTGTATTGTTCAGAGGCCCTAGACAAACCTCCATCCTTGGCCATTGGGTTTTCTCACAGGTCAAAAGGGGTAGTAACTAGGACTACTGCAGGGGATAATAAGGCCCTGAGCTTTGTAATCTGCTGTTACAGGCTTGATGCCTTCCAGGGCTTCTTTATTTATAAGGTATTCATCAATTCTGGGGAGAGGGTTAAGGAATCTGTTTGAATCTTTATGGGAATTCTCTGTAGATTCTACCTATCAGTTGAGGATTTTGTCCAGAAAGAGGATTTGTGCCAGTAGGGACAGTGTCGCCAGATGCAACCACAGTGCTAACAGACGTGGAGCAAATAAAAGATGTCGAAAGGTCATTTAATTCACCTTGTCGGCCATTTTGATTACTACTGTCAAATTCTAGAATTATTTCCCTCTTTTGGGAGAAAGGAATTCCAGCATGATACATTTATTTAAAAAAAGTCCTGGCCCGGGGCGCCTGGGTGGCTCAGTGGGTTAAAGCCTCTGCCTTCGGCTCAGGTCATGATCCCAGGGTCCTGGGATCGAGCCCTGCATCGGGCTCTCTGCTCAGCGGGGAGCCTGCTTCCTTCCCTTCCTCTCTCTGCCTGCCTCTCTGCTGCTTGTGGTCTCTGTCTGTTAAATAAATAAATAAAATCTTTAAAAAAGAAAAAAAAAAAGTCCTGCCCCAGGGGCACCTGGGTGCCTCAGATGGCTAAGCATCTGCCTTCAGCTCAGCTCATGATCTCTAGGTCCTTCGATCAAGTCCCAGGTTGGGCTTCTGGCTCAGCAGGGCATCTGCTTCTCCCTCCCTCTGCCTCTCCCACTGCTCATGCTGTGTCTCTGTATCTTTCTCTCTCTAAAATGAATAAATAAAAATTTTTTTAAAGTCTTAGCTCAATAAATGACTAGGTGCAGAGGAACTAAGGAGAAAAGGGTTTGTATATCCCAGTGGACCTAGACCAACGGGAACTGGTTCAGAGACAGGAAACTGGTGAAGTTCATTAGAGAGTTGTTTGAACCATTTTAGAATTCTAAGGCAGGGAGGAACTGCTTTGCAGTACTGGGACTGAGCACCAAGAGTGTAGTTCTGGTGTCAGTAAGGACAAAGATTTTGTTTCTGAACTGAACAGTGGTTTCTCTGAGCCAATCGAGAGGGAATTTGGGGAAGAGGCCCTATAGTTCCTCGCAGTCATTGGAAAGGCTGGTTATAGAGGGCTGAAGACACCTGGAGCACTTATGATGGTAACCTTTTTTCCAGTGTTCTGGCTCTTTGCAATAATAGCAGAAACTAGAAAGTTTTTGGTTTGTTTAAGGGCCTTCATTTGTTAGAGTTGAAAATTAAGAATTTAGGGATGCCTGAGTGGCTCAGTCGGGTAACTGTCCAACTCTTGATCTCAGCTCAGATCTTGATCTTGGGGTCATGAGTTTGGGCCCTGCATTGGGCTCCATGCTGGACATGGAGCCTACTTTAAAAAAAAAAATGAAGAAAAAGATGGGAAGAAAGTTAAGAATTTTAGTGGTCTTTTAGGTGACTGCCCTAGGGTACTAGCAAGCTGGTTTGCCAAATTAACTAAATCAGAAGTGGACATAGTTTCCCACTCCATCTTGGTTTTTTTACCTAAAAGAGTTAGCCCAGTTCAGCCCATTAAGAAACATAGCTAAATGCTACTCTGATGGATTCAACATGAAAAAGACCAGAATTTTCCTTGAAAACAGTCTGAAATCGATTACGGTAGTCATGAACAGGGTCATTAGGCTTTTGTATGTGAGACTGAACTTTGGTCCAATCAACAGGCTTAGGAAAAGCTACTGTAATTGCTCGGTGGAGATTTCCAGCAAATGTTCTAGCATCTTAGCAAAAGTTAGGGTTCTGTTTCTCTAAACTCCTTTCGAGATCTTCCCATCGGGCTAGCTACAGCCAGTATTTGGATTAGCCCTCATCAACATGCATATGGACTAATTTCTTAAAAAATCTGAGAAACCAGGTTGGTAAGTTTTAATAACTATGTGAAATGCTTTCTGCAAACCTGTGGGGGTTCTCAGTCACTACAAGAAACTTCAACTATGGCTCTCAATTCAGCATCATTCTAGAGAACATAAGAAATTTGGGTTTTATTTGGATCCTCAGAAGATTTTAACTTTAGGGGCACCTAAGTGGCTCAGGCAGTTAAATGTCCAACTTGATTTCGGCTAGGGTCGTGATCTCAGGGTTGTGAGAACAAGCCCCGTATCGGGAAGTCTGCTTGAGATTCTCTCCCTCTGCCCCTTCCCTCACTTGGGCACAAGCATGTTCTCTCTCAAAAAAAAAAAAAAAAATTTTTTTTTTTTTTAAAGTGAAAAGATTTAACTTTAAAGGGGCAGGTTTTGATAGGTTCAGTAGAGGACGGAGCAGGTTGAGGTTCGGATGCAAAAGAAAGTTTGGTGGGAGAATTAGAACAGGGAGGTTGAGGGTGTGGAGAAGCTGGAGGTGTCACAAGGGGAAGGAGGGTGATGACACCATGGGGGGCGGGGGGGGAGCACTGAGCATAAAGTAGCTGCCACACTCCTGGGAGTTGGGCAGGGAGGGTGTCCCTCAGACCTCAGGAGTCTTTTTATCTTTGCTGTATTTTGCTGAGAGGCAATTTTAGATTCCATGATAATGTTTGGAAGCTCTAAGATACCAATCAAAACAGGCATCCCATTCAGTTTTGACAGTTTTAGAGACTTAGCTGCCTGGTTTAGTTGGGAGGAAATCAGAAGTTCCCCATAATGGCCATTGAAATTCTAAATTTCTTTTGATTAAGTCAGTAACTACAGTTAGAGATGGTCAGGAGGAAGAACCACAGCTTTTAAACATAAAACCACCAGTGTTTCAGAAGGGGAGCTGCCCTCAAATCATTTTAATGACGGGGATCCTGTTTCTTAGAGGTTTTTCTCTAGAGTAAAAAAAGAAAAATTCCTCAGCAGCACAGTTTCAACAGGAACATCCAGGTTCCAAAGGAATCGGACCAAAGGCCAGCACGGAACCAGTAGGAACAGCCCAGTTCTGGAAAGGAGGTGGCCCAAAACTAACACACTTCCATTCCAAGCAGGCACAGTTCCAATAGGAACTGTCTGGTTCCAAAGAGAAGTCAGTCCAAAGGTCAGACCAGCACTCTCTGAAAGGACAGAGCCTTAAAACAGATCCTGGAGAGCTCAAAACGCAGAGAGTAGAGCTGGAAGTCCAGGAAAAACTTAGCCTCCAACTCCAGGGTTGGTAAGAGAACAGTGAACTTCATTGGCTCTGTATGCCCTGGCACCTGTTCACTCACCAGCCTCGAAGTTGTTGAATATTTCTGGATCCCACTTCTGATCACCAAATAATGTTAACCTTAAAAATGAAAGTTATTTTACCAGTAAAAATTGGTTTATTTGGGAATGACAGAGAATTGCAGTTTGGGACATGCAAGTTATTGCAAAACCATGGAGAAGTCCCAGAAACAAAGAAGAGAAATATTTTATGGAGAAAAAGGAAGAAGTTGGGAGGGGTTTTGAAAGTCCAGTGGAAAACAAGAGCTCAGAGTGATGGTTTTTCATTTGCTGAGTTGCAAGAGGTAATCATTTCTTGTAGAAGATTCAGTGAACGTCTTTTCCTGTTGGGGACACCCGGGTGGTACAGTCCGTTAAGCATCCAACTCTTGGTTTCTGCTCAGGTCAGGATCTCAGGGTCGTTAGATTGAGCCCCATGTCAGGCTCCACACTCAGTGCAGAGTCGGCTTGAGATTCTCTCTCCCTCTCCTTCTGCCCCTCCCCCCAGATAAATAAAATAAATATTTTTTAAAAAGTTGATTTGTGGTTATAACAGCACTTTTTTTTTTTTTTTAAAGATTTTTTTTTTATTTAATTATTTGTCAGAGAGAGAGAGGGAGAGAGAGCAAGCACAGGCAGACAGAATGGCAGGCAGAGGCAGAGGGAGAAGCAGGCTTCCTGATGAGCAAGGAGCCCGATGTGGGACTCGATCCCAGGACGCTGGGATCATGACCTGAGCCGAAGGCAGCTGCTTAACCAACAGAGCCACCCAGGCGTCCCTATAACAGCACTTTTTTTAAAGGATTTTATTTATTTATTTGCCAGAGAGCGAGTACAAGCAGAGGGAGCATCAGGCTGCCCGCTGAGCACGGAGCCTGATGTGGGGCCTGATCCCAGGACCCTGAGATCATGACCTGAGCTGAAGGCAAACACTTAACCCACTGTGCCACCCAGGTGTCCCTAGGCTCCAACTTTTAAAAGTAGAGGTTTGTACTTGGAGAATATGACTGGAAAGTATCCTATTGCTTAGATCTGTGCCCCCCTCCTTTTGTAAGGGTGGGGGCCAAAATCAAGAGTTAGATGTTTAACTGCCTGAGCCACCCAGGTGCCCAGACCTGTGGTGCTTTTGCACACAGATTGTGGGATCTCTGGCGTACATGCAAGGAGGGAGGCAGAGGAACTGTGATCGTGTGTGAGCAAACGACACTCATCTCCTACTACTTTGTATTGTATTGCCTAATATCCTTTCTTTTTGTTTTTCTCCCTTCATCCAAGGGAGAATATGAAAGTTTTGGTTTGCATCCATTCTTGGGTATGGCATTGGGGGGGCACAGGACAATAAGTTAAGAGTAAGTAAGTAGGCTTTTAAAACATACTTAGGTGACCCCCAGTTGTTTAAAGTTTTCTTGTACTGAAGTGTTATTTTCATTTTCTGAGTATTTTTCAGGATCTAACTATACTGTACTTTCTCAGGTTACTTTTTTTTTTTT